TTTCGTGGTTGTTTCTGTCATGATGATACACGGCGTTTTGCCGGCGGAGATGGTCTTGCCTCGTTTGTCCACCTGTCTTGCCTTGGCTTGAAGACCGGAGGCTGCTACACTTGCACTCCGACCTCCTGCGGAGTGCTCCTATGTCTTTCCATTGGTCGCCCGGCTAGCACTAGACTACTCAGTCAGCGCTGATGTGTAGTCTAATGGATTTAGCCTTTATCTAGCAACGCGGTCGATGATGCTGGATGATGCATGTCGAATAAACAGTTTCAGAAATAGATCGGCGGTGCAAAAAGATGCTACTCCCACCGGGGTTCGAACCCGGGACCTCGGCTTTATCAGAGCCGCGCTCTACCAACGGAGCTCTGGGAGCTGTAGGTATTGACAGATACGTAGGTGCGCTCTTATACAAGTAGGACGAACATGTAGCGGCGAGGTATTGCGAGGAGTTCGTTAATGGATTGGTTGTTGGTCATAGGAGATCGGGATTGTAGCAAGACCACGAGGTATTGCGAGACCCACCAGGCTCACTCAACTATCCCCCAACATGTTAACTCTAGAAGTATGCTGTGAAGTGAACAAGAGTGGAAGAAGTACAAACCCCAGAAGCGCCATATAGCAACAACATCGACTTCGGTCACTGCCTCAACAGACTTCGGTCTGAACATCACACAGACTCTGAAAGGCTTGACCGCCTGCGGACGACCCTTGGGTACAGGGCACCTCGACACTACACACTTCTACATGGATGGCGTGATGAGGTGTGCCTGCTACAGCCAGTTTCGCGTGGTACTTGCTCCGGGCAGAAGCAAAAAATGGGTTGGTCCTTGACCTACTACCAATATCTTGTTCTGCAGCAACCTCGATGGGCGTGCCCCTTGTATGTCTCTTTCTTTCGTGGTTGTTTCTGTCATGATGATGCACGGCGTTTTGCGGGCAGAGATGGTCTTGCCTCGTTTGTCCGTCCTGTCTTGCCTTGGCTTGAAGGGGAAGGCTGCCACTCTTGCACTCCGACCTCCTGCCGAGTGCTCATATGTCTTTCCATTGGTCGTCCGGCTAGCACTAGATTACTCAGTCAGCGCTGATGTGTAGTCTAATGGATTTAGCCTTTATCTAGCAACGCGGTCGATGATGCTAGATGATGCATGTCGAATAAACAGTTTCAGAAATAGATCGGCGGTGCAAAAAGATGCTACTCCCACCGGGGTTCGAACCCGGGACCTCGGCTTTATCAGAGCCGCGCTCTACCAACGGAGCTCTGGGAGCTGTAGGTATTGACAGATACGTAGGTGCGCTCTTATACAAGTAGGACGAACATGTAGCGGCGAGGTATTGCGAGGAGTTCGTTAATGGATTGATTGATGGTCATAGGAGATCGGGATTGTAGCAAGACCACGAGGTGTTGCGAGACCCACCAGGCTCACTCCCAACATCTCATAGAAGTATGCTGTGAAGTGAACAAGAGTGGGAAGAAGTACAAGCCCCAGAAGCGCCATATAGCAACAACATCGATTTCGGTCACTGCCTCAACAGACTTCGGCCTGAACATCACACAGACTCTGAAAGGCTTGACCGCCTGCGGACGACCCTTGGGTACAGGGCACCTCGACACTACACACTTCTACATGGATGGCGTGATGAGGTGTGCCTGCTACAGCCAGTTTCGCGTGGTACTTGCTCCGGGCAGAAGCAAAAAAATAGTTGGTCCTTGACCTACTACCAATATCTTGTTCTGCAGTAAACTCGATGGGCGTGCCCCTTGTATGTCTCCTTCTTTCGTGGTTGTTTCTGTCATGATGATGCACGGCGTTTTGCCGGCGGAGATGGTCTTGCCTCGTTTGTCCACCTGTCTTGCCTTGGCTTGAAGACCGGAGGCTGCTACACTTGCACTCCGACCTCCTGCGGAGTGCTCCTATGTCTTTCCATTGGTCGCCCGGCTAGCACTAGACTACTCAGTCAGCGCTGATGTGTAGTCTAATGGATTTAGCCTTTATCTAGCAACGCGGTCGATGATGCTGGATGATGCATGTCGAATAAACAGTTTCAGAAATAGATCGGCGGTGCAAAAAGATGCTACTCCCACCGGGGTTCGAACCCGGGACCTCGGCTTTATCAGAGCCGCGCTCTACCAACGGAGCTCTGGGAGCTGTAGGTATTGACAGATACGTAGGTGCGCTCTTATACAAGTAGGACGAACATGTAGCGGCGAGGTATTGCGAGGAGTTCGTTAATGGATTGATTGATGGTCATAGGAGATCGGGATTGTAGCAAGACCACGAGGTGTTGCGAGACCCACCAGGCTCACTCAACTATCCCTCAATATCTCAACTCTAGAAGTATGCTGTGAAGTGAACAAGAGTGGAAAGAAGTACAAGCCCCAGAAGCGCCATATAGCAACAACATCGACTTCGGTCACTACTTCGGAACATCACACAGACTCTGAAAGGCTTGACCGCCTGCGGACGACCCTTGGGTTCAGGGCACCTCGACACTACACACTTCTACATGGATGGCGTGATGAGGTGTGCCTGCTACAGCCAGTTTCGCGTGGTACTTTCTCCGAGCAGAAGCAAAAAAATAGTTGGTCCTTGACCTACTACCAATATCTTGTTCTGCAGCAACCTCGATGGGCGTGCCCCTTGGATGTCGTGGTTGTTTCTGTCATGATGATGCACGGCGTTTTGCGGGCAGAGATGGTCTTGCCTCGTTTGTCCGCCTGTCTTGCCTTGGCTTGACGGGGGAGGCTGCCACTCTTGCGACCCGAGATTCTGCCGAGTGCTCGTATGTCTTTCCATTGGTCGTCCGGCTAGCACTAGATTACTCAGTCAGCGCTGATGTGTAGTCTAATGGATTTAGCCTTTATCTAGCAACGCGGTCGATGATGCTAGATGATGCATGTCGAACAAACAGTTTCAGAAATAGATTGGAGGGAAAAAAAGATGCTATTATACTCCCACCGGGGTTCGAACCCGGGACCTCGGCTTTATCAGAGCCGCGCTCTACCAACGGAGCTCTGGGAGCTGCTCTTTCGCCGATCGAAGTTGGACTCATGAATGTCTGAGGACATGACAGTTCGACCTTGATATATATTTTTTGAGTGCCAGCGCGTGTGTTCTGCGACTCCGACGTCGTTTTTTTCCTTCGCACACCCCTCATGACCCTTATTTTTCGGTTTGGGGATGTTTTTTTCTTTTTCTTTTTTTCATAAATACACAGCAGTATTATTTTTCCGAGGCCCCACGCTCTCGTGCGGTGCCTACCTATCGCTCATGTATGTACGCGTGCTTGCGTGTGCTTGGTGCGTGGTTTACACCCTCAACGATTCACCAACAACTGTCCAACCCGTCACAACGGCTACTGTTTCTCAGCGCGAACACCGTTCTGGAAGGGAAAGCGGAGGTCTTCGGCGAGCGCCTGTCGGCCCTCCATGCCCGCACCCACGGGGGGTCTTACCTAGCTCGCTGCCTGTGCGCCTGGCGCGGAGAAGCGGCTCGCATCCGTGCGGAACGCTCCAAGAACGTTACCGCTGGCGATCATGCCAGGTGCGGACTGTGTCTGACGGGAGCGGTAGGGAATGCCGAGTCGCGCGTGATGTTGAACCTTGGGTGGGAAAGCTTGTGTGCAGGCGTATCTATTTAGGCCGGCATCGACCGCGCTATGCGGCGGGCCATGACGTTAGTGTTCTACAGTAGCAGGATAGGAGACGCGAAAACCCTTTGCTGTCAGCAGGCTCCCCCGACAAAAGAGGGGCGCCGAGTAGGTCGGACCTCATGTGTCCGGAGTCACAGCAGCGTGTTTTGTGTGCGCGTGTGTGTTTTTTGTTTTGTTAGCATCGACCGAGCTAACCCGCTGTCCAAAATATCGACGTGAACGTCAGTGAGGCGGAAGAACGGAAAATGCTTCTGGGAGGCGGAGAGTTTTTGCGAAGTTGAGTTGAACAATCGAAGTCGGGACTGATACACACTATTTCATGAGATCATGCCGGGTGAATTACAGGAGGGAGGATTCGCTTTGTGAAGCAGGCAGGCTGCCGTCCCTTCCATTGGCTTGTTCCGAAAGATGACTAGCAACGTCTCGGATGAAGCGGGCTTCAACGGCGGTGGGATCTGGCACGTATCGCTGGAGCAAGTCCGTGGTTCGGGCGAGTCGCTAGGTCTTATCTGGCCGTGAGCCACAAGTGTCGATACCTCCACCATCACCGTCTGTCCCTGTGTGCTCCTGACTGGCACAACTCGGAAGGGGCGGTGAAACATTATGACTATTTGATCCGAAACAAGATTCGATAACCCCCGACTACCCCGCCCCCAAACGCACGATCATGGTTGACCCCCCCCCCACCCCCTGTGATATTCTCGGAAGATGATGGAGATCGTTTACCCAGCTGGCAAAGCGCCTTCCCGTGCCCCCCCCCACACTGCCCGCTTGTTTCGGGCCTGCTACCCAAAAGACGCAAACTTATGTCGCGCACCCTGGGGGCTTGGCGAGGAGAAACGCGGCAGCGCATCAACAGCAGGGGCAGGAAGGAGGCGGACCTGAAGCTGCACGCTATCTCGAAGGAGATCATAGGTAACTCGCCCCGGACGCCCTGTTGTTGCTGTTGTGTTGGGCATGGAGTTGTTGTTGGGGTACACGTGGCCTTTTTGTATCCAAGAGCGCCTTGTGGTAGGTCCGTTCTCTTTCTTGGGGTTGTTTGATTTTGATGTGTCATGGGGGTCACAGCTACTGCGTACTGACAACTGCTGGTACTGTGTATACCCGTGTGCCTTTGTGTTTTTGTGGTGTAGGTTTAGCGATGGAGTGGGGAACGGCAGCCAGCATATGATTTTTCATCGGGGGTGTTATCGTTAACTTGTGATCAAAGCTTTAAGTTCGTTATGATTTGCTTGCGGTGTCAATTGTTTGTTGTTGTTGTGGAAGTAAAACAACGAAGTTCCGAGCTACGAAAGAGCAATCCTCCCCGGGGTTCCATGGCAACTATTTCCTTTGAGGGGTTTCGGGACTGCTCTTCCCCCCTTGCTGGCTTGTTGAGATGGTTTCGTGAGTCTCTGTCTCTGCCCCTCGTTGAGTTTCCCTCTTCCTCCCGTTGGTCTCACCCTCGTCTGTTCCATCTCACGCTCTACAGTCCGTATGCGGGCAGTGTTTCTCCCCATTGCCATCATTGTTCTCGCGACCGTATGTGTGTGTGTATCGATTAGGCTTTTCTTTCCCAACCTCGACGCCGTTGGATATGTATTTCTTATAACGCGGTGCGATGATATGCGATGTCAAGGCCGCTATGAGACGGAGCTATCCAGCACGCGGGCAGCTCTCGACGATGCCATCAGCCAGATAGCCCTGGTGAGGGAGACCCGGGGGAGGCACGCCTGTGGTACTATTAACGGCCGTGGTCGACACGCGCTTGGGATTCTTAGCCGTTGAACTCGTTTGTTCTAGAGGTGGCGCCCGCGCTTTAGCATCTGGGAGTAAAGAACTTCGGCCTCAACAAAATAGTGGATAGACTAAGAAGTCGGCCAAAAGAAATGGTGCTCAGTGAAGAAGCCTGAACCGACGGAGTCGCTGTTGGGGTACCGCCGTAGAGATTTTCAGTTGCGTGCGCTGACTGTAGCCTAGCCGATCTCTCGGGCGGCAGTCGAGCTTGTATCGGCCGAAGCCCAGCTCGAGTGTTGGCCGCCCCCGTTTGTGTGCTGTTGGTTGGTGGTCGGTGTCGTGTGCTGACGGTTCCCGCTGCTGTTTCTGAGGTCGACGATTTGGGTTTATCTCGTGATGACTTGAGTACACCCCGGCGCTCCGTGGCTACGGGAATGTGATGATGATATATGTTTTACCGCCCCCGCCAATGCAGCAGTGTAGCAAGATCAAAACTATGGTGTCGGGCCGATAATTATCAGACCCATGTTTGCATGAACCGGTGTCGTGTGTATGGAATCGGCGACAGGAGAAAGCGCGGCAGCGGGAGATGGAGGAGGGCATGCGGCGAACTCTCCTGAGGGGGATGTCCGCCATGAACATGGAGGCGATGAGGCTTATGACGGAAGCCAGGTGAGGTCTTCTCTTGGCCAATCACCACGGCGGCGCACGCTCAAACAGCTTTGGCTGCGGCGTCTTTCTTTTCCCCATATCGCACACGTCTACCATGGAGGCATTCGGGCTCAGAGGTAGAGGCCCCTCAACGCGGGTTGGATGCTGTGCGGTGTACGATACTACACACACGGTTCGTTTGTCTGCCGGCCGCAGCAGTTGAAAAAGCTCAACGCACACTCTGCGTGATGCTGCAATTATTGCTTCACGGCCAATGCACGACCCTCGTCCCGTGTGCGATCCGCAACCTCACAGCACCTTTTTACTCCCCTGTATACCGCCGCAATGTTTCTTACCTCCGGCCTGGCCGGAGAGCAGAGACGCAGGCGAGGACGAGTTCGGCCTCAGCGGCACGACGGCTACGACGGGTACGAGGTACTCCGCCGGTGGAACAGACGCACCTTCATTCGGCGCCCGGGCGGCTGCTGGGGCTGCCCATCACAGCAGGTGTGGCCGGTGTTTTTTTTTTTCCACGGTGTTCTTCGATGTACACGGACGGTAAATTGTGTTGATCGTCAAGTCGTATCAGCAACAGCCATGTGTGAGTTGTGTTGTGCTTGTCGGCGGTGCTTCGTTTGAGCCCGTCGAACATGTGTGCACCTGTGCCCCCCTCCTCTCCCGACTCCAATCGATATACCGAGAGCGTGCCCTTATGCCTGGTGTGTCCATGAGCGTGTTTCGTCACCATCGCACGCGCCGCGAGGGCGAAGCTATGCTCCTTTGGCATCGTTGTGCTCAGACTGCGGCGGAAGTTGATCGCTGTGCGCCACTTCTCTTTCTCTCTCTCCCCCTTTCTCCCTCCCCCCTCTCTGTCTCTCTGCCTCTCTGTCTCTCTGTCTCTCTGTCTCTCTGTCTGTCTCTCTCTCTCTCTCTCTCGCCCTGTCTCTCTCACACACGCACACGCGCTTTTTTCTTGTTCTTTGTCTCACTACCACAAGGCTGGCGTATTTTCGTTGGTCGGTCGAATAGAGCGGTCCGTGAAAATGTAAAGAACACACACACACGCACCCGCTTTGTGTTTCGCAGATTATCGGAGGAATGGCCTCGACCGTTGACACCTCCGAGACCAGCTGTGCCGTCTTCGCGCTGATCATCAGCTGCAGACAGGTGCCACACGGGATTCGGGGCCTAGGGGCCTCAGCGAGGAGCACTGGGGCGTTGGGGAGGGTCATGCTCGCGTCATTCCATCATTCACGGAATTGGGTTAATTTTTGATAGAGCGGAGAAGCACGGATGTGTCTCGTTTGCCGGCCGGCTACAGTGGCTAAGACTATACTGTATTCCAGGTTGTGTGGGGGGTGGCTGGTGTATGTATCCGCCGCGGGCCCGCCGTTATTTTCCCGCTGACCGGAATATTTCGGTTTTTACCCGCATGGCAAACGGTGGTGCTGTGTACACCTTTGTCTGTCTTCGAGACGCTAGTATGCTCTGCTCGTGCCGCTCGGTGAGTTGCACGGCATGGTGTTCCCTGGCAGAGTTGGTGCTGTGCTACTGCTACACGGCCTTGTTATCGTGGGTGAGGTGGCAGTGCAGTCGATCGCCTGCTTCAGGGTTCTTGGTTGATTGGGATCACTGCTTGAACACAACCCCGTCGAGTGCGGTATTGTCTCGAACGGGTACGTCGTTCAGTGATGGTATGTACATTTTCTGTTGAAGACACAGGGGCTCTCACGCATGCGTCCCGTCGTTGAAGGTTTCGGCACAAGCTTGGGATTATTGAATTGAGTTCATAACGTCACAGCGACTAGGCTCTTTGTGAGGTGGGTTGCATTTTGCTGTAAAGGTTGAGTCTGGAACGGTTGTTGTTTGTTCGTTTTTTCGCGTGGGTTGCATACTTGCCGTATAGGTGGAGTCCGGAACAGTTGTTGTTGTGCTTGCTTTTTCGGTTACGACGAAGGGTCGCTTTTGGCTGAGGGCTTGATGTATGCGGCGGTACGGTACGAGGAAGGTGCTTAGGGGGTCGCACCGCCGAGTTAGCACACCACACGAGCGTGCATCCAGCTTTACGTGTGTGCGAGATAAAAAGTCGGATGTTTTCATGACATGGAGGTTGTTAGGGTCACTGAAATTTGTGATACTGCAGCTGTCCAGACTCTAGTTTTCGGCGCTCTGCTGACGGCCGAGGATAGGACGAGTTAAGGGCTTAGATGTCGAGTCGACGTCGCGTTGAGCCGAAGTGTGGACCCGCGAGCGTATAGGCTGTGCGAGCAGCCTCGATTTCGTCGACCCCTTTCACTAGAATGCGATCGAACAGACTATTGACGCCCTCTTTTTCGACAGACAGAAGTAAGTTCCGGAAATTCCGTGTGAACGGAAGACCAGCTGAGAAAACGGTTTCGTCAGGATTCCTTCCCTGCCTGGTTCTTCTCTTATTCGATTGGGACGGAAAGCCTTGCATCCGTTTGTCGGATCTCTCTTGACCGTTCATCCGCTGTTGGGGTCACACAAGTCACAAATTGTCAGCGACGTCTCCAGGAAAAATCGAGACTTGAATTCAACCCAAGTTATTCCGTGCAAAGTTTTGCAATCGGTAGGCACACGTGACCGCGCTAAGGATCAAGGTCGCTCGCTTGGGGTTTCCCATGGTGTCTTTTCGAGTTGCTCTACACCGCTATCTCCTACCAATTCTACTTCAGGAAACGATCAGACTCGAGCCTGTGGTCTATCCTACAGGGTTGTCCTAATACAGATTCACAATGCCAGTCGGGGTTAGTCTCGAAGGCCAAAGTACAGAGCATAGAGTCTCAAACACATTCGTCGGCACAGCTTTGGATAGACTCTCATACTTCTAGTCGACACTACTTACCAAAGCGTCATAAATATGGGAAGGCTTTCGCATCACCCAAGATCCATAGAAACAACCCTCATACCCACTTTCGGCATAGAAGCCTCGGTGACGAATGAATTGCCAAGCAATATCTACTCGTTGAATAGAACCACCCTTCGGCTACACTGCACACTATCATTTTACCGTGCACCTTACCACAAAAATCACTCACGACATTTTTCGGGCCCGTGACAATGACGTGCACGAACACGCCTTTGTCGACGGAAGGAGACTGTGGGTGGTTGCATACCAGAATCCAAACTTCACGTGACACATTTGTCCCACTCGGGTCATCCGTGGGATGGAGTGTGCAGCATACACTCCCGCAACATGAGAATCGCTCTGTGGAGAGACTCGCGTTCCCGAACTCTTGGAGCATGTTATCCGTCCGGATAAGCGACGATGCTATCAAAGGTCTTGGCGCTCGAATCTCTGCAACAGGCTAACGAGTAAAACGAGGAGACAACGCAGACCTGTCAGTGAATGGAGTTAATTCATTCTCCTCATCATGATGATGCTCTTTTCCGAATGTGGGACTCGCCTGTTTGATTCGATATGTACGCAACCTGGACACGAAGGCGTTCGAACTTTCTTCCATGAAGAAAGTAAAAAAAATGAAATCCCTTGTAGACACGGATAACACTCACAAATGGAATTAAGACAAAGGGGAACAAAACTTACAACTGTGCACACACCACGTGAAAATTCATCATCGATACCCTCTGGAACCTTGCTCGAAATGAAAAGCCCTTCCTAAAATGGTCGGAATACAACTTAGTCACGGAAGTTCGGGCTCGCCTCTCACCGGTCTAACTGGTCTTCGTCGTCCTGAAACGTCCGGAATAAGGGCGAGAGGCTCGAGCTATTCGCAATTGCGCTAAACGGCTGAAACGTTTCGCCGCTCAATCTCGGAGAAGGAAGGGAGGCCACAGGAGCTCCTCTTGCGCCCACCACCTGCTTTCAGAAAATGCCGCGACGATGCGATCGTTTGTTCGTTCCGCACCAACATATTTTCGGCATATATTCATTGTTGATGCCGCTTTTGGGAAACGTGTGACACGCTGGCTTCCGTCTATCTTCACACGGAATGATGTGGATGGAAAAAGACCCACAGGGATCTACAAGTACTGCAACGATTTTCTAGCTAACAACCAAGAGAAAGATATGTAGCACCGATCCCAAGGAAGCGGAGAAGTTCGTCTTTTGGAAATCGTTTTCCTGCTGAGCTCGGAAAGCTCTCGTTCAGTCTGCTGGAGTGAAAATTGGCCCCTGTGTGATATGAAATCCTTGCAGCTGCATGCACCCGACAAAAGTAATCGACTGCTACTCTCTTCTTCAAGGTTGTCTGGCATACAAGTATTAGATAGGGAAAGGCAGGCATACCTGGCCCGGTGAGGGTCGTTGTGCAGACTTCACCAACGCAAGTTCTGATGCCAGCCGGTCCAACATCTGCTTTGTGGTGAACGAACATGACGGGCGCAACTGACTGCTTCATAGGCGCACCAGGCGTACGTATATCGATGGTTTTCGTGTTGGTCTGGCTCGCGATTGGGATACCAGGTGGTTGCTCATCCCATAGCGGGGTATGTCGCGGGTGCGGGAGGCACTACTTTCTGACGATGCAGGGTGCTTCCAACCACGGTAGCGGTGATCACATCATCTCACAACTATATGCCACAAAGGTGCACATTTAGTTTTCGGGGACGAAATTGTACAGATCCATCTCACGGGCACCCGTCCTGCCGTCGCCGTGTTCGTATTCCAGGAATCCGATCGGGTTTCGTACGCGTTGGATTGGAGGAGATCTCGTGTCCCGGCCTGGTGGTAGGGCCCATGGTTTGCATGTTCTTCTCTCCACCCCATTGGTCTGATGTCGAATTATCTCACACAGCAGTCGGCCGCCCGGTAAATCACCCTAGTCTGTCTTTCTATCCGCCTTACTCTGACAGCGCCCGGGCGTCGACAACTGGAGCAGATTACGCAATGTCTGCGTTGAAACATCACTTTGGCGCACACGTGGCCCTTTCAGATCGGTGCATTCTCAGAGACTTCCGAGAAAAGGAAACAAACTCAAACCTGCCATGTCTTTTCACTCACCCGGCCGTGATCCTCAAGTCTTCGCAAGATCAAGAGGACCCTGTTCCGATCCACTTCACCGCCCATCGCCGCCTCTTGCCCTGCTGCTCTCCCAGCCCCGCCAACGGCACCATCGCCCATCCAACCCCCTCCGCCGCTTAGTCTCGTGGCCCGGCCAACACCGTTTTGGCCACCTCTTGGACGCGCTGCACACGACGCCTCCTCAAACTTACTATTCCTCCGCTGCCGCTGGGGTGTTGTGCCTGCCTGCTGCTCATTTCGATGCAGCTGCCGTTGTGGGGACGGCCAACCGTGGTCACCGGCCCCGCCGCTGCCTGGGGAGAGGGCCGGCGGAGCTTCTCCCGCCCGCAGGTTCTTATCTCTCACCCTATGAGGACGGCCCGGAACAGCCATGAGTATCTCCGTCTTGTGAATATTTCTGGCACTGTTGGCTGACAGTATCGACACGGCTACATGATAACCGAGCACTGAGTGATTCGGGATAAGAAAAAGGTTGCTTAGACTGGGCGTACCACCAACGCCGGCATTCTGACGAACGTGCCGAGTCGAAACATGAACACGTGAGTAATTTTCTAACCACGCGTCGTGAAGACAGTCTTGGACTTGAAAATAGCACAACAAATCTAGCGTTGCCCACATAGTCTACGTGTGCCAAGCTCGAAGAATACCCTCTACGCTGGTGGACCGGGGTATTTAGTCTAATAATCCGAAACAAGGTCCGTCACCTGTGGCGGTTTGCTGCACGTTCCTCAGCCAGCACTCGTAGCACCCTCGCTCGCTCCTCTTCATCCTCCGCCTGCTTGGCCGCCCTCTCGAGCTCCCGCTCAGCGCGCTTTTCTTCCACTTGAGAAAGCAATGCTGCCTGGACGTGTGGGCGTGTGTGCACAGAGGTATGCGTATGTGCACATGACTATTTAAGAGTCCACAAGGTATGGTGGAGTCAAGCGCAGGTCTACTGTATGGCCCAAGTAGATTGCGAGGCCCGCTCTTGGTGCATGTTTTGAGGAACAAAGCATCACGCACACAGACCATCCGGGAAGGGAGAGCAGCAAAGCACCTGTAGAAAGAGTTGGCCATACTGGGACTCTTTCACAAAGAGAAGAAAAAGAGCTAGAGAGCTCACCGACCGTCTGAATTGCGCAACGGGCAATAGTAGGAGCAACGGTGTGAAATACTCCCAGCACACACTTAGGAGAGCAAAGCAAAATACTACCGGGAGATCGTACGTAGGACAAGCGATCGGCAATCGAAGTACCGTCGTCCGCTCCAGTAGAGCGAATGAAACCGTCGACGCATCTCTCCGTCTATCAAAATGCAATCGATGAGGCATGCAGACAAAATGAACTACGCTTGGTGCCGAAGTACTGAGAGTACCACTTACCTCTAGCTCTTGTCGCTCCTTTATCCGTCGATCGAGGTAGCTTTGCTCCTCGGGCGGAAGCCGGTCAAAGCGGTATCTGTTTCGAGGAGGAGACAGCGACACCGTCACTGCATCGATCGACCGCAGTCCTTGCTCTCCCACCCTGCCGGTGGCGGCACAGGCGGCACTTCTACTCGTCCGTAGCGGCGACCTGTCCTCCGGTATGCCTGTCAACAACGGTGTCTATGGCGTGTTATTTCGATATATCTCTTGCTCTCGGGGAAAAATCTTGAATCGTCTTGTGGATAAAGGCGAAACGTTTCCCCCTGGTCAACAAAGCATGCTGTCCCCTCTTTCGTACCGTTTTTATTCGGTTGTGCGAACTTCTGCAGGCCGACCGTTCGAAGGATTTCGGTTCACTTGCCACTTCATCCTCCTGCCTAATGAGCAGCATTTGCATTGAGCACTCGCAGTCTTGTATACCGTAGTTGACACATAACAACGGGCACGGCGTGGGCATTCAGCAATAGCTGCTGCGTTTCAAGCCATTAGCGCACTTTACATCTGGGGTGTCACGTATAAGATACGTATGGTAGACATTGACGTACGGGTGAGGGTTAGGGCTACAACTCATGCATTGTGCGGTACACTACCACTACCCCCCCTGCACAACCACCCGTCTGTCACCAGAGACCTCAAAATCCAATGTGAGGCCCCGAACGTTTACCGTTGAACCGCCTCTTACTTTTGGTGGTGAGGGTATACCCGAACGGTTGCTCGTTGTCGCCGATCTCGTTGGGTGATAGGTCCTGGGCAATCAACCCTCGTTGTTTGGCGCGATGATAGGCCCTGCGGAAAAATGATCACACGGAAGACATCAATGTTGCTGAGCTGTATAGAAATTGAAACGTTTGGATTTGCAAGCAAAACCTAGAAACAATACAGGTACTTTCTGACGCTATGAATTCATTGCAAATCTGTCTCAGACTCTTTTCTATGATAGGGACATTGATAGGGATGGATTCGTTGTGTCATATTAAGAAAAAAAAAAAAAACAGTAACAAAAGTCAGCGCTGACCACTCTGCTAGCTTGGTTTCGGTATTGAACGTTTGTCGTGGGATCCGAAGCGTGGCAGCTGTTAAATCCTAAATTATTACGTTCGACTGTAGTGAGCGGGCTTCTAAAAACTACATGTGGTCTTGGGTCAAACGTTGTTGCTGGTTTTATTTACCTAATCCCTTTTCCAACAACACTCACACTTACTTAACGTTCGTGACAAGGGCGCCGTCCGCTTGCCTCAGAGGTGCTCCGGAGCCTGGCTTGCCCCACGGATTGTAAGTGGCCTTTTTTCAAAACGCCAGGTCACGATGTGGTATGTAGCGATGCGCATATACTTGAGCCGGGGACCCTTTGTCAATGCCTAGCACACCAAGAACCCCTCTTGGTTGTTATTTCTTCGACGAATCGTTCCAGTCTCGCTGGTTGTTCGACATCCGTACCGGTGCAACTAGGGCGGACGCCTTGTTTACTTGCTACATGTTCGAACAGACAATATTAGAGATGTGTGCCCCATGGCTGAAGGTTTTGGATTGGAAGGGGATTCAAACAATGGTCAATTTGAGCGTGCGCCCGTGATACCGCTGAAGTCTAGATGAAGATACAATTTACATGTAGTCTACACCCATTTTCTGAGCCCGATATTATTCCGGGCCAGTGCTATGTAGATGCGGGCATGCAAGGCCTGGACTCATGCATCCCACGACTGCTACACTCGTATTGTGGAGCTCACCGACTGCAGTTCGTGTCTTTCCTCGAGCTCTCTTATTTTCCGCGCGTGCAGCTCCCGTCTCGCCTCCATGTCGGCAATTTGTGAGGATAGCTCCCGCCGGTACGCTTCTTGCCGAGCGCGACGCTGCTCCCGTTCCCTGAAGCAATTGGTACCCGGGACGTCTAAACGGAACTCTGACTTAGGTTCAGCCATTGCGGATGTCATGCTGACACCAGTTGTACGCCTGTGGTATTATTTGCCCTCACGCCGGCCCTGTTAGCGGCAGGTGTCACTGAAGTACGGTGTAAACCGGCCGTTCGACCTTTTACGTACCCGTTTGTCGGCCATGGTCATTGATGCACGATCGTATGCGAGGAGCTTCCCCAATTGGCGGCTAGGTGTCTGTCTGTACCTCCCTTGGTTTTTGCGGTGGATCAGCTACCGTTTGGTAGGAAGCGCGGGTAGCCCGAGACCTGCTTTCTTCTGTTCTTCTGTTCTTCTACTGACCACGTCCGATGTCGAAGAAGAGATTTGTCCGACGGTTTCATGGCATCATCGAACGGCCGGCGATCTCATTTTTTTTTTTTTTTGGCGAACGCGGCGTATTTGCCTGCAAAGCACAGGACGCGCAGCAGCGGGGCAGGGAATGCCCAGCTCAGCTGGGAAAGCAAGTCGTTGTCGGGTTTGATGAAACTGGATGCGGTGGTCCGGGGAGTCGTGGTGGTGAGTGCGATTTTTTCTGGGGATGGTTAGCCTGGAACCAATAGGTCTGTCTTGGACTTTTTCTGGGCGGCGATGCTGGCAAGAGCACCCGCACCTAGCCTCACGCATCCTGTTGTTGCCACGTTAGGGCCAAGACCAGACCAATACGCAGCACTGGTACAGGGTGTTGCTGCTTCTCACCTAGGGGGCCGATAGGCGAAGGCGGCAGCACGGAATCGCATATCGCATCGACATCACACCGAACGATAGGTGGGGCAACTACATACAGTACCATTGCTGACACAAGATACCACACCCCCCTGGACTGATTTTCAAGCTCGACTACTCCACGACGAAGGGGATCCATAAATGAAGCGATGTGTTGTTGGAAAGCTGTCGACGAGGGGGCTCAAACACCGCCGTACTCGGCACCGCCACTCATCCCGCTGTGGAGAAATCCATCTTTGAAAATCGGCACAGGGGGTGCGATATCTTACGTCACCTGTGCTACCCTAGAAGTCTTCCGAGCTACCGAGTGGATCAACTGTGGTGAAGCTGAACCCATCGTGTAGAATGTTTGCAGATTCTGCGCAACGTCCCCATAACATGTGATCCGCCGTACGTCGGTCATCATGGACATATCGGTATCACACACACATTGCATTCCCGATGTTAGAGCTGTGCGCTAGTGTTTCGAACGTCGCTGTCGGTGATGGCGCGAATAAGCGCGTCAAGCGCTCTCGCCTTCACTGGCGAGGCTTGTAGATCGGGATTCTAGACTGTGCCACCGCTGCCGTGTGCGGTGTGAGACCGGCGGATATTGGCTGTGCCCTCTCCCTGTCACATGTTCCTCGGCAGCAACCATAGATGGCCCAGCAGTTGTCATGCAAAATTGCACGATCCTGCCCCATCGGGGTGCGATCGCGCTCGAGGTCACTTGAAACTTCGGGAGTGTTGGATTGGTGCTGTTGTCCCCACGTCCGTTTCAGGAAAATGCGACGAAGCGATACTTCGGAGCGCGTGCCATGTATGCTCGTGTTGCCTGTGTGCTGCTACACTAAATACTTGACGTTTTTCAACGATCGACTCAAATTTGTGAAGACTCGAGAGTACTGGCTACCTGCTTCCCTTTATACCACACCTCAGGATATTCAAAGGCTGCGTATTGGCAGGCAGGCGCTGCTGTGTAGTGCAACCTTGCTGGCGGCCAGTCTCACTCGTGCGTGTGTACACGAACCCTTGGGTAAGTGACCAGTCCATCTCGCCCGTTCTTGCCCTCCACGCCCCACTGCGCGATCTCCACCCATTAACAGGCCATCTTCCTCGCGCGAGCACACCAGCGCTACGGGTTCGTCCTCGCTGAGCCGGCCCCTTGCTCCTCCTGCTCCTCCTCCTCCTCCTCCTCCTCCTCCTCCTCCTCCTCGTGCAAAACAAACGACCCCTCGCCCCAACCATCATCACCTCCGGCGGAAGCTCCTACCCCTATCCAGTTACCCTCGGTTCAGAGGAGGAGAAAATATTTTTTCGGCCGAAAAGGCGACGACGTCAATGGCGGCGGCGGGGGCGGGATCAGCGATGACAACGAGGCCATGGGGGAGGAGGAGAAAGGGTGGGGACTGGGTTGGGAGAACAGTCGGGCGGAAGGAGGCTTGCGGGATGGCGGCAGCAGCGGTAGCGCAGCAGACTACGAGAGGCAGGATGATGACGGCGACGACGACAGGCACGATGGCGCGGCGGCGGCGGCGGCGGCGGCAGCGGCGGCGGCAGCTGGTGCCGGGGTTAGTGCTGTTAGCGAGGAAGAGGTCGCCATGTTCGCCGCACATGCCGCCTTCGCTGAAACCACTGACACCGCTGTCTCAGCAGCCGTCCCCGCCGCTACCGAGCTGTCGGAGTGCAACGCGTCGGTCGAGGGTAGCGGCGGCACCGCCGCTACCGGCGACGGCGGCGGCACCGGCCGTAGTGGAGGCGGCAGCGGGCCCAACAGCAGCGGTGTTGTCGACACGGGCGGGGCGGGTGGCGGCGCGCCGGAAGAGCGGAGGAGCAGTGGCCACGGGGCTTCTAGTGGGGGCGGGGTGGTATCCGGGGATGACTCAGGCGCTGGTGTGAAGCCGAGAGGCGGGTGGAGGATAGGGGAAGGCCTTTCAGTGCCCCAGGATGGGGCTCATGCCGTGTGGAGCCGCTTCAAGGAGGCGCTTGAGGTTAGGGTGGAGGCGGCGGCGGCGGCGGTGGCCGGAGGGGGAAGGGGCGAGGGTGTCGCCGCGGGTAGAAGGAGAAGGGACAAGGCGGCGGGCGAGGAGCTGGTGGATGAAGTGCTGCTGGAGGAGAAGAGGGAGGCCGTGTTGGCTGCGGTCCGATGGGCTTGGAAGGTGCGTCCCCCTGGCGCGTTGTGTTTGCATGCTGCCCCCAACCTTGGCTTCGTCCACGCACGATTACCTGGTTGATCGATTGGGGACGCTTGGGACAAGCATGCTGGCTGCCCTGCGACCGCGACTGAGTGATTGGTCGCAGAATTCTGAGTTGCACACGGCCCATTTGTCCGGGCCGAGATGGAAGCCTCCCGAACTTCATGGCTGACGAAATGCGATCAAGCAAAATTCGCAGAGACATGATAAATTCACACGGGTTTCTATGTGTTTCTTTTCGTGGCCAACCGATGACCATTTCCAACGGCCTTTGATTGCATTTATCTGTCGGGAAGCACCTGTGCATGGTGCTGCAGTTTTGTTCTTCAACCTTGTTTTTCGTCGAGCTTGGCGTGCCAGTGCCTAACGCACAAGTCAGGCACGGTACGGCGACCCTATCACTCTTCGTTTCTCGGAATGAGCATCCTTCGGTGCCGATTTCGAGAGAACGTGGTGCTGACAGCTGTCGGCTTTTTCTGCCCCCCATGTGGGGGTTGCACGCAGCGTTTGGCGGTTGCACGCGAAATTGATTGTATTCCGTATCTCGCCGCCTTCAGTTTCTCCCGTTGACACAATGCGTGTGTGTGTGTTGCTGACTGCTGTGCGCTATCACTCGCGTATGGGCTAGTTGTATACAACTTGTGTCTTGCTGTCTTCGTTTTACCACAGGGATACACCACCCACGCCTGGGGAACGGACGAGCTCAACCCCTTGACGAGGCGAGGCAAGACTTCCTTCAGACTCGGCCTAACCATCGTGAGTGTTGACGGGTGCACCTGGCGCTTGTGTATTGTGAGGGCATCTCTCATGCGAAGCTCGCTCGTGCCTTTTTCGCTGGCCGTCGCGCCAACCCAACCCACGTGGGATGCTCTAGTCGGGAGTAAGATGACGTTGTAGTCGCGTTGCCTTGAAAGAACCAGACAGTGTTGTTGTCTATTCAAGCACCGGACTGACCGTTACGTTTTTCTTTACCCAACACCGGGGGTCGTACGCCGGGATATGAGACCAAAGAAGGAAATGACAAATAAGTTGTAGCTGTTGTGCATTCGTAGCTATGTTGTGACCGGTGCGGGCCACGCCCGAGGACAAGAAAAACCGCGGCGAGTTTGTTCCTGTTGGCCTTGCTGCCCCTCTCCCACCTCTCCTTTTGAGGCGAAGCTTGTCGAGGAGTAGTCTATGCTTCTCCCAACACCGCCTGGCTCCGCTTCGACCAGACAGCCGAGCGATCCGTCGCACCCTCACCTTGACAATTTCGGGTGTCTGTTTCCCACGAGGCAGGTCGACTCGATGGACACGCTCTGGCTGGCCGGAGAGAAGGGGGAGTTCGCCCGGTGCCTGCATTGGGTGACCAACGTCATGGACCTGGACGTCGACCAGGTGTGTGGCCGTCTCCGTTGCGTGGACAGGGCGCAGCCGAGGCGTTGTTGTTGTCCCTGGGGAGGGACATCGATCGTCCCCGCACGCTCTGATCTGGTTCTCTCATGATATGAATCGCCATCCCTTCCGCCAACCTTGTAGTTTCGCGTCGACGGGCGAGAGAGGCTGCTCTATAGTAGTACATGAACCGCCGTTCAGCGCTGGGGCTGTCCCCCGCCGCGTTTGGCTTTCGTTAGGGAGGCATGCAGAGCGTTGTGCCCTGTGCTACGCTGGGTCGACGGTCTCATTGGATTGATTATAACTATTCCTCCGGGTTCTCCTTCCTCTCTGCTCTAAATAGGTGTGAAAACAAATTTTGTGCACTACTGTACCAGTAATTTGTGCTGCTGCTGCTGCTGGTGCTGCTGCGGTCGTTGTCGCAGAATGTGAACGTCTTCGAGACGACCATCCGGGTGCTCGGAGGACTGCTGGCGGCGTACCACCTTTCTGGCGAGGAGGCCCTCCTGACCAAGGCCGCAGACCTCGGCCGCAGGCTGTCCAAGGCCTTCGACTCGCCGTAAGTTGACCCTGCCCCCATTGGTCTAACCGCTAAGGCATGCAAACCATGGGCACCCCCCCCCCCCCGCCCCCCTCTTGTCTCTCTACTTGCTTTGCGGGATTCAAAGAAATAAGGTGTATATTGTGTTCTTCCTAACGGGACGGTGAAATTCTCGAATGGCCGATTATGCTCTCTTGTCGCCGAGAAACCTCAGGCCGTAGACTTTGACGCCGGTACCCTCGTTCCTTTGAGTGTGTAGTGACGGTGCCAAGCCTTGTTTGCCGAACCCCCGCTTGTCCTCATCCGCTTCTCCGCCCCGGTCCCTCCGGCAACCGCCACCCCGAAGAGCCTGTCGTGCCATCTTCGTGATGGTCGTGGTATCTACAGCTTTTAGGCGATTTGAACCGATTCCCTTGTTTCCTTTCTCATCCCCGGTCTACCGTATGTTTGGGCACCCTTGCTGTAGGGTAGTGTGGCCTGGTAACGGGGGTGGTTTCACAAGCTCTCTCCTCTAGGATTGGCGTCAATCTTGGGTTGAGACAGGCGGGATGCACGCTTAGAACGTCGATCTTCTGGTGACCGCTGTAGCAGCAGCCAACTGACCACGACACCAAGAGTGACCTTCGCCCGTATGTGTCATTATCCTTAGAATCGACATGCGAGGCTTTGGTTGAGAGATGCAGTTGGTAGAGATTAGAGCATCGTTCGACCAAGTGGAGAGCTGTTGACGATTTTCTTAGGTGGGTCATTACAACAAAACAGAAAATGAAAAACAAAGAATGCTCCTGTGTGGCCTTCCTCTTGTGTGACCCCGCCGGATACGTCAGGTATATTCGACGATGTAAAATCGGCGCCAAAATAGATGGGACGAACTCTCTCTCTCACACAACATCCTTTAGACTGCCCACCTATGGGGCCGATAGAGGGAGGTTTTGACTGTGGGGCCGATAGAGGGAGGTTTGTATTTTGTGAAGAACGCTTTAGGTGAAGCTTTTTTCGGAAGCAGTATTGCGGCGATTGATTGCCTTCACTCGGAACTCGACGATGAAATGTAGCATCTTCGGCCGCCCGTATATATACCCTTACGTTAGGCATCGACATGGTTATCAGGCACTGTACTGTAGAGACTAGGACGTTATTCAACCAAGAGGAACGAAACTAGATGATGACGCATGTTGCATCGTCCGGCGATCCGATCCAATGCAGGTCCGGGATTCCCTACTCGGACGTGAACTTGAGATCGGGCCGCGCCTTCAACCCAAGGTCGTCCCCGGGCAGCTCGCTCTCGGAGGCCACGACTCTTCAGCTCGAGTTCAGGTGCGACAACAAAGCCGGAATGCATTGTCGGGAAGGAATAACCCCCTTGGGCATGGGAAGTGGGTTGAAAACGCGGGAAGGGATATCGATAGGCTAGGGAAGACATTTCTGAGCCACCTTTGGCAAAGTAGGAAGGGCCATCGGTGGTCGGTCCTGTAGTAACAGTGCTCCGTCCTCTCGAGGACGCGTGGTTAATGGTCTAAACGCTGAGGCCTGCAAAACATGAGCACACGCCCCCCCCCCCGAAGAATGCCTCCTCCTCCTCCTCCTCCTCCTCCTCCTCCTCCGAAAAGTGAGTCCCCGCCGCCTTCCGCCACCCTCTCCCCCGATTGCACCCCGCCCCACGCCCGCGCCGCCGTTGTTTGCAGTTATCTGACGAAGCTTACGGGGGACCCTTCTTTCCACAGGGCGGCGCAGGGAGCCTCTGACGCCGTCGAGGAAGCGATCGTCAAGCTTGCGTGGGGGGAGAAGGGCCGAGGGGAGCGGCAGGTGACCGACCGGGCTAATTTGACGGGTTAGCGGCCTAATTCGCGTAGTGGCGGGCGAATGCAAGGAGTGAATGCTGGCTAGTTGACGGGGCGGCGGGCTCATTGATTGACGGAAATACGGGCAAATTTTCGGTGAGTGACGGGGGGCGAATTCGTGGAGTGAATGCTGCTTGCTCCCCAGATTCTTGGTTGATGGTTTGCTTAGGTTAGGTATACCAAATACTGTTTTTTGTAGGCTTTGCCGGTAGATGTCGCCCCTCTGGCCAAGAGGCCACACGTTTGGGCACGTCTTTGATTTTTGATCTTCCCCTCAGAGACCCATATTTGTTGCACGTCTGATTGCCGTTTCAGCGCAGCGGCTACTGTTGGAGAGAGGGTGGTGACAAGCTAATGGTGAAATAATTTAATCTGGTCCTCTCTTACGGGACTGCTATCACTGGAAATGCATGGGTCTCTCTCTTTCATTTTTGGCCACTTGCTTGTGTCGCAGCCGCTCTTCGTTGACGCATTAATTTGTGTCGACGGCTCGCAAGTATCCTTCCATCACCCCTTCACCTTCGGGGGGTTGATATTGCCCTAAAGGCCTGGTTATTACCGTGGGTATTGCCATGGGCCTTGACGCTCTTCCACGATCTGCTCGACGGGGTCGTCTTTCTCGCGAGCAGGGGTTGGCTCCTGTTTTCGTCGATCCCAAGACAGGGCTCTTCGGGGAGTCTGGCGGGGCGGTCGGGACGAATCGCGGGCTGGTCACTCTCGGCGCGAGGGGGGACTCGTACTACGAGTACCTGCTGAAGCAGTGGCTGTTTTCCGGCAAGAAGTGAGTTCATACTGTTATTTTTGGCGGTCGGTGCTGCTGCTGCAGCAGCTCGGTAGCCCTGTGACCGCGTTTTTTTTTTTTTCGCTTGAATGCTTCGCGAGTAGTGAGCGAGTTGAAATGTTAATGTTTCCACGAAACAGAAGTAATGTGGCTGCTGTTGTCTCGCACGGGGCTCCTGTTTGTGAGCGCTCACTGTCAAGTGCGGAGGCTCATCGGGTACACCTTGGTCTCGCTGTTGGAGGCAACGACGTCTCGCCTTTTTGACGGTGAGTTGACGCCCGTGGAAATTCTCTCTCGTTGAGGTTGTGAAGCCCTGTTGCCACTTGTCGTGTGACGGGGAGGGGGTGTGGGATCCGAGTCCCCTTGGTCTGAAACCCACCGGAGGGTGCTTTGCTCTCTGATGCCCCCCCCCCCCCCCCCCCCCTCCCGATGTTCCCTCGCACCAAAAGGCTGTTATTCCGCTTCGCCTCTCGTGTGGGACTAACGGGTATCCCCGTCTCCGTGTCTAGCACATCAGACGGGCTGTCCCTTTCGACTTTTCTCATGCCGTTGTGTCTCACTTTCCCAACTCTCGGTTATCGCTCCCGTCGTGTTTCCATTAATATTTACAGAGACACCAAGTATCTTCGGAGGTACCAGGAGGCGGTTCGAGCGGTGGAAGCGACGCTGCTTCAGAAGTCCTACCCGGGGGAACTGTGGTTCGTCGGCGAGCTAGTCGGCGAAAACTTCTCTCCGAAGGTAATGCGGAAAGGGAGGATGTCGGCGCGTGTACTTCGTTTGTCACGCGTGCGGGCTCTTGTCGAGAGCGTTTCTGCGCAAAGGGGTAGTGCCTCAAGTTCCTTGGAGTGTTGTTTAGACAGTAGAGACATGGGCGAGGCAAGCAGAGCCAATGTAGCGCGTCAAGTCAATCACATCCTTCGCATCTGCGTAGTCCTCGGACATCCGTACACTGCGGGGTACACACAAAGAGAGTCTTTTGGAGCGTAAGCGAGCAGCGAGGTTGTTTGTGGTGCTGTCCGTCCCTCACCTAGTGGAGAGTTGCCACGGTTTTACCGTAGGTGGCGTGACACAAGCTACCACACTCCCTGGATCTAATTCAAACCTCTTTTGTTCCGTGACGAAGATGCCGAAATCAAATGATAATTTTTCGGAACGCTCTCGACGAGACAGTAGTTCCAATGCCGCCTTTTTTCGGGACCGCCGCTGTTTTTCCTGCCAAGTAATCGAGCTTCGAAAATCGGTTGGGATAAGAGGGGGTGCTTTTTCTGGAACCAAGGTATAGCCCTCCGAGGAACGTTGTTGTTGTCGCGAAGGTTGTTGCCCTTCTTTTGTTGGCTCCAGGGTTTTGCACAACGACCTAGATGGCATGGCCCGAACTGTTTCGCTGTTTGCTCGGTGCCGGACGGCAAGCTTCGTCCCGATTGTTGTTCTCTTGTGCGACATCGGCGGCGCTACCAATAGACCGCCGCGGACAGCAGAAACGACAACGCCACCACCCGATACAGCCAATGCTACACTCAAGACCGCTGAAAAGCAAACGGCGACAAGAGCAGCAAACTTCACAACAACTCTTTTAGGAGCGATGAAAAAATGGTGACAACAATGGTCGTGTACATCGATGTTGTCGTTTTTTCAACACGGCATTCAAGACCGCTGGAAAAGCAAACAGCGACAACACTAAGTCGTGTCGATGTTGTCGTTTCCTCCAACAACTCGTTCAAGACCTCAGAAAAGCAGCCACCGACAGCACTAAATCGTGTCGATGTTGACGTTTCTTGCAACAACGCATTCAGGACCGCTGAAAGAATAGAATAACAGCGACAACAATAATCGTGTACATAGGTGATGTCGTTTTTCGAACAAGGCATTCAAGACCGCTGGAAAAGCAAACAGCGAAAACATTAAATCGTGTCGATGTTGTCGTTTCCTCCAACAGCTCATTCAAGACCTCAGAAAAACAATCATCGACAATACTAAATCGTGTCGATGTTGACGTTTTTTGCAACAACGCATTCAAGACCGCTGAAAAAATAGAATAACAGCGACAACAGTAATCGTGATCATAGGTGTCGTTGTTTTTCCAACAAGGCATTCAAGACCGCTGTAAAGCAAACAGCGACAATACTACATCGTGTCGATGTTGTCGTTTCCTCCAACAACTCATTCAAGACCTCAGAAAAGCAATCATCGACAGTACTAAATTGTCTTGATGTTGCTGTTGTCGTTATTTCTCTCTTGTCTCTCGGACAGATGGACCACCTCGTCTGCTTCCTCCCAGGAACTTTGGCTTTGGGCCAACTGCGAGGGGCGGCCGGGGAGGGCGACGGGCACCTGGCGTTGGCCCGAGAGCTCATGGAGACATGCTATCAGGTTAGTCATGGAGACGTGCTATCAAGTTGGTCATGGAGACATGCATCAAGTTGTTCATGGAAACTTGGCATCAGGTTGGTCGTGGGGACTTTGCTGTGAGGTTGATCAATATGGAGACTTGCTATCAAGCTGGTCATCGAGACTTTCTGAGTATCAAGTTCGTTCTGGAACTTGCTGTCAGAGTAGTCATGGATACTGAGCTATCGGGTTGGTCACAAGAGACTTTCTATTAGGTTGGGATTATCTCTAGGAAGGATGGGAAGGCCTGCACTGTGTCGTGCCAGCGGATTCTCGCTCGAGCCGGAGCCTCTGCCTTCATAGGTTCGAGACTGTCACTGTCAAGCTCTGTTCTTTTCTTTTTTTTTGCCACCCGTGCGCGCTCTTAGTGCGCAGTGCGTCCCTCATACTCATTCCACGCGGAGGCCCTGCCCTGCTGACGCTGCTGGCGTTTTGGCTTCTCCCGACTGCCTCACACGAATAGATGTACGAGCGCACGGGGACGGGTTTGGCCCCGGAGATCGTGCACTTTAAGATCGCAGATGGCGGGAGCGACGGCGGCGGCGGTCATGGCGAAGACATGATCATCAAAGCGTGAGTGCCGCCGCTACCTGTTATTTTTCCTCTCGTGGTCACATTTTTTTACTCCAGCAGCTAGCCCTAGCCCGTTGGTTGTATTTCCGGCCTTCCACACTTGAAAAGCGCGACCCTAATGCGCTTCGTCTTTGCTGAGCCGTGCACAGCCCATGGTTCTACGCCCCTACGATCGGTATAGGACATGCTGCGCTCTCAGACGTAGGAGTACCTCACGCAGCTTAATGTTCCAGCACGGATTCTTACAGGTCAACTCACGCATCTAATCTATTGGTCCGATTTTTTGCCCAGTCAAGCGCCAGAACAAGCGCCAGAACAAAGTGCTAGGAAATTGGCGTCTATTTCGAACATATCTGCTTGAGTCAGTAGCAAGCATTCCCCCGGGGGATTTTCGAAGGGGGCTAACCCCCCTGACCTCTTCTAGTCCCTCCGGCCGATCCCGCTTTGACACCAACAAGAATCACGCTGGCTTCTTGTCCGCACAGTCCGCCGCGCAGACCCCCCCCCCCACACGCACACATCCAGTCCGCGGCTCCCCGTGGGGGCGCTCTGACGTTCGCTCTCTCATTTTGCCTCCGAAAAAAATCGAAAAAAAATGTGAACGCTCTTAGGAGAGATAGACATAACCTCCTCCGTCCCGAGACGCTGGAGTCGCTCTACTACCTGTACTGGATTACCGGCGAGGACGGGTACCGGGAGCAGGCATGGGCGATCTTCGAAGCCTTCGAGGAACACTGCCGGGTGGACCGAGGGGGCTACGCCGGGCTCGAGGACGTTACCGACGTGAGCGAGAAAGAAAGTCCGTCTGCCTGCCCGTCGAAGGAAGTTCTTGATGGGGGATTGTGGAATAGAAACGGTATTCTGTGTAGAACCGAACCTGTTCGCCTCGACGCGCGGCAATGCCCGCTCCCCTTTCGCAAAGCGTGCGCAAGCACTTCCTATACCTTTTCCAGTCCGAATGATTCCTCTCGCGTCATTTTCGTACCTTTGCCGGTCCGAATTGTTCCTCTCACGTCATTGTGGGGGCAAGGTTGAAGCCATGAAGAAGACAAGGAAAAATAACACGTGCGATGCTTTTAAAAGACGGGGGACGTCAAGGAAAGTGGATGTGCCAAGCGTGTCAATATCGCCCAATAGACTGACAAATATATTTCAACAGGAGTCAATTAGAGTAGAAAAGGAAAATGAGGCGAAGTCATGACAACGGCGGAGTTCGAACGGGAGTGGACAGACACATTCCATGGAGGAGGGATTTGCTATTCCGATTGTGTGAGAGTGAATACTTTGATTTCATGGAGAAGTTCGAGTTCTTATGCGTATTGGAGTGAATTGATTTGAAAAAAGGAGAAGTAGCTTCGAATTCCGTAGGTATAGGAGTGAATTGATCTATTCCGTCGTGGAGAGAATTTTAATTCCTTATTTTCCGGGAATGAACAGATTCATTCCATGGAGAAGGGGTTCCAGATTTCGTTCGTGTGGGAGTGAATTGATTATTGATTATTTTCATGGAGAATTTCGAGATCTAGGTGTTTGGGAATGAATTCATTCCATGGAGGAAGGGGCTTCGAAGTCCTTCGAGATATGTGTGAATTAATCTAGTCCGCAGGTATGGAGTGAATAGACTCATGCCATAGAAAAGGCACCGTAAATTCAAATGTTGAAAGTGAAGTGATTCATTCCGTGGATGATATTTCAACCAAGGTTCCGAACGTGCATACCGACCAGTCGGGTAAACAATCGTATGAGAATATTTGGTCACAACCAGGCGAGGAACTCGGAGGTACCTCGAGAGATTGTTTTTCAATTTTTCTTGATGCAGTGTCGCCAAGAGTCCCGGAATTTTTCGCGGCGTCTTTTTTCTGACTGGGACCAGTGCACAGTCTTGAGGGTGATGTAAAAATAGACTTAAGACAGGCAGAAAGGAAAGTGGGTACGTACGCCCTCATCAGACCCCGCCTCTTTTCTAGCGATGATTGAAATGTTGTTGTCTTGGATGGAGCTGTGTTTGGGTTTAGCTGTCGCTCGTCTTCGACAAGGACGAAGGCTGCGTCAAGCTGTAGACGTCTCCGCATGCGCGCGAGAGGCCTATTGCAGCTGTCTCTACTGTGCAGCGTGCTGTAGTTCATTTGTTTTTTTTTTGCGTCCTGCGTACCAACGGTTCATGTTTATTTGTTCTTTTTTGCCCTCTCTCGTTCAAATTTTCAGGTGCGCTCCGAGAGGCTCAACAAGATGGAGACTTTCTTCGTGAGTGAGAGCCTCAAGTACCTGCTGCTCATATTCTCGGAGGAAAACCCCCTGCCGTTCGACAGCTACGTTTTCAACACGGAGGCCCACGCTTTCCCGATTTTCTAGAAGGGTTGTGACGTCTTCCGTAGGTGACACAAGATATCACACACCCTGGACCGGTCTTCGATGTCCCATTTCTCCACGGTAGAAATAGTGGCGGTGCCGAAAATGGCGGCGTTGAAACCGTCTCGTCGATGTCTTTCGAAAACAATAATCTCTCGATTTTGACATCGCATTCGCCCGGACGTACAGTCAAGTGTTGAAAAATTGTCCAGTGGGTGCGGTATCTTGTGTCACCTACGGTATTTTGTGCAGTGCGTTTGAGAGGTCAGGATCCCAAAAGAGCTGGGCTGCACTCACGTCCAAGGATGGTGAAAAAGGAGCCCCAAGCTTCCCCCAGAACAAAAGAGAGAGGTGAACCACGTCGTCGTCGAAAAAAAAAAGGCCGCCCGTGTAGAATATTTTTAATAGGTTTCGCTGTTATTCCGTTCCTACTGTTGCGTTTTTATTTGCCCTCTCAGAGCAAGGTACTTATGTCAAGGTTTTGGACAGGTGACCGTTTGTTCTTGTGTTTTGTATTGCCTTTTATCTAATATCGTGTGCATTTTTGTGTGCTGCAGATTTCATGGGCTGATGTAGAGGGAGATACTTTTTTTTGCAAGTGCAACCGAACAAAAGTCGACCAAGTAGAGCTGGTAGACAAGGCCCTGACCGTTGTTCTTCGCACGCCGCAGCTGTAATGTTAACATTGATGGTGGTTTTTCTTTTTGGGGCCGGGTAAGAACTACCGAGCACGCCGCCCTTCGCGTGCTCTCTTTCGGGCGGAGAGTAAATGATCTTCCAAACATCCTACGGTCACTCCCGTGCGCCGAAATTCAATCCCCCGTGCTTGACTCCAGACTCCACCCGGGTAAGCTTGAAAAACTCCGCCAGCTAGAAGAAATATATATTTCGCTTCGCGATGAATAGAGAAAATCGCAAATGAATTCGGCGACACTGTGCGCCAATGAGTCAAGACTTCATTTTCACAGTGTTCGTGTTTTTCCTGGTCAATTTCACACAATCGCATTTCATCATGTGTACCCCACGAGGAACAGCGGGGAATAAAACAGTACGTGAAAAACAAGCGTAATGAACCATGACAACCCAGAGAGAATTCGCACAGACAAGCAGCACTGCTTGTTTGTTGTGCTGATATCGTCGCGGTTCTCCGCTGGTATCTTGACCACATATGGTGTGGGAGATTGTGCAGATGTACCACCCCACCCCCCTCGTGTGCGGAGCCCGGCTGCCCGATCAGTTCTAGCTTGCAACATCGACCAGAACCGCCTTCGAACGAAGGCAGTGTAGCTACATAGTGCGCGAATCGAACTCAAGAACGCCGAGCTTACACCCTCTTTCTTGCCTTCAATCCAGCGTGCTGACAAGGTGATAAACGGGCACACCTTCCGACTGGCTTTCATACGTCTTACCGACCCGTTCTCCAAAACTTCATTCTAAGACTCTATCTTGCACGTGGGTAGGCACCATCAGGTACACACGTCAACACCAGAGCACCCCAGCAGCAGTCACGAGCGCCTTTGGTGTTGTGCAGGGTTTTCGCTAGGGCCGCAGGCCCTTACACACCGCGCCTTGAGGGCGCTCACCGCGAAGGGCCCCCCCGGGAGGGCGGCCAGAGGTGATTTGGTAGAATGTTTATTGAACAAGTAGTCCCTGAGAAAAGACTGAAAAAAATGGCAGCAAAAATAGCCACCGGGACAGATTTCACTTGGCGTCCGCCAATCAGCTGTCTCCGTGTAACTTGGCGCCCACTTGGCGTCTTGTCCATTTTCGAGTAATTTTGGCAATGACGCCGCTTTTTCTTCAGCGCGCACCGCATTCGAACCAACCAGTTCAGAGACCGACACACATCAGGCGGGAGCCTGGGCGCTGCAACTGGCGCATACCAGACGCCAACACCAGCAGAGGCCACTCCGGTCTCTGTGCACGAAGTTTTGCAATTTCAATCCACACTGAATGTCGATGACGAGCACGCGCAGCAGCACCCGCCAGAAGAGCTACAAACACACACGCACGCACTGGCCAAAGATTCTTGTCAAGATGAGGATCAGAATGATGGTAGCGAAAACAAGGAGGATAATGGTGAAAGTACTCCTAAACGAACTAAAGTACAAGGTAATTGGCTTGGTAGACGCGTCCAGTTTTCTTCTGTTGCTGCTGTTTCTGTCTTTAATCCGAAGGACAGTTTAGCCTCCCCCATGCTGCCCCCTCACGGGGTCCCAGTTCATGGCAGATAGAAGTGTTTGAAGTGTTTTGTGTTTTCAACCGCACTTTTGTAAGACTGACGTCTTTTCGTTGGTCAGCCGGTTAGCGCGGTCGATGCTAATAATAAACACACGCACGCACACACATGCGAATATTTATGTAGAGCTGGAGCACAGCGAGCGGTAGTACCCACACCCAGGGATCCATGCATGCCTTTATATCATCTGCGCGCCCGTCCTCTCGCCAGAACACGTCAAGTAACGTGATGATGATGCTCTGGCTCCTCCGTGTTGTTTCTTCTTCGCTCTCTTGACTCCGTCTATCGGTAGGTTCTTTGGAGTGAACACCCCACCCAAAGCAATCGCCATCAATCATGCCATGCCGACGGGTCGGTATGTTGACAAACCGGATGGCAGAATATATGCACGGCGACTTCTTTGCTGCCCCGGTGACGGCATCTCTGCTCTAGAGTCTCCTTTCCTTCATTGATTCACGGAGTGAGGTGCAACATGTTGAAAGCGTGTGGCCCGCAGATGAATGGGTTTCACCGTGTATTGGCGGGCTTCGCACGCATAAATAAACTGGGTACATTCAAAATATTACCGATATTAATTGAAACTGTCCCGGTATATTATTATTATTATTATTATTATTATTATTTTCTTAATATGACACATATCTATTCTATTTTTTTTTATTCAAAAATATCTATTCTCGCATTTCAAAGCGAGAAAGAGGCCCCGACATTTTTTTTAGCCTGCCGCGAAAAAGGTGCGCCCGTTTTCCTTCTTCTGGTCGGAACGCTGCGCCTGGGTTTTCGACCCGAGTGCGCTTTGCGGATGGATGTTAGGTATACTCAGAGTGTAGAACACATACAGACACGGTATCATGTGTCGGTTCGGCGCAATACGTACACACAGTCTAGCCCGCGTTTCCGATCACACACCGTTCCACCCCCTCTCCGGACAGAACCACCGGTCTTATCAGAATACGGGGACGAGCTGAGAGAGAAGGCTGTCCCTGAGCGCAGCCATACGACAAGTACGAGTTAATCACAGCCACAGCATTGTAGGAGGTAAGATGTATTTTGGGTCGGGTGATCGAGAGGTCCCGTGGCGTGGAGGCGCCAGGGTAGGCTGTGTCACAGATCAGCGTACTTTGTGTGAACGTACAATATCGTGGATGTACCTGGTAGTCCCGTCTACTGTACAACTTGCTTTGACGGTTCGAAGGTGTGTCAGCTGTTTTATATTTCGCCTTGACGTTGTACTGAAGCTATCAGCTGCGACTTGATAATTCACTCTCATTCTCCTCGTTGGTTCACCGTGACCGACACGTTGTTCAACTGCTGATTGCTGATTGCTGCGGGCGGGCTTTTGTGCGATGCTCCCTCCCCCCTAAGGGCTCACATATGTTCACCACGACCCAAGCTCCTCCCTCTTGTTGGCTGGTGACATACATTCGAAATACATGCAGAGCCTTCCGTTCGTTTGTAGCCGATACAGCAGTATCTGTACACGCAAGAGGGATCGAACTGTTATATGATGAATGCCTACCCCGCCGGCAGTTCCCAAGGAGGACACTTTCCGGCCGAAATGTGGACTCTAAATTATACAGGGGGAACGATTGCCCCCCCCGCCCCCCACTGGGGCGAGCGGCCAGACTCCTGTTGAAAGACGGGAAATATCTCTACGTATATGTATGTAGAAGCCGATTGTTATGTAGTTTATGTCCCGCCGAGCGCACGCATGTGGTTCAAAATGTCGAGCACGGGTATCATATTGCCGGCATTTTCCCTCACAGCCCGTCTGATTCACGTTGGACAGACCTAATACATGTAACCGCGGGTGACGAGGGGTGCCTGGTACATGAGCTGCATGGTATTGTGATCGAAAGTTCGAAGTTGTGGTGAGTTCATCCATCGCAAAACCTGCAAGGTGTGGGTCGAATTATCGTAGTAAATTGAGCTAGTATTTGTGTATGTGATGAGAAGATGGGAATGATTGTACAGTAGATGAGTCACGCAGGCGTGATGTATGTGATTGTAGATGATGAAGGTTCGTCAATGCCCATAGCAGTGGCATGCCTCAGGCAACACGTCGCACTGAATCTGTAGACCGGGGCGTCGCATGGAATCATTACATCGGATCAACGCCGATCCCTATATCTTGCCATTAGACTACAGTAGTCAGCTCTTTGGTTTGATTTCGGCTTCTTCTACATTAATCCAACAGCACAGCATTACAAGTAATGGTTGTCAATAACGTCTGTGTGTTTCGAAGGCCGTTGCGGAGGGTTTGCCGGTGTGCCGCAGAGCCAACAGTAATGAGTGTGAATACCGATGTTTGTGACGAGAAGGTTGGCATGATTACAGCAGCAGCAGAGAACTATTTTCAATCACCGACTCAAGTGGACCATGCTGTATCTAGCCCCTGACTTTGTACCGATCGCGCACTATCCTTTCATTCGCGGCCTTTCCAGGTCTTTTCAGGTGTTTGAATATACATTCTACCGACACTCACGGTGACGACAAACAGACCAAGACGACCAAGACGTGAATAGGGAGGCCCCAAGGTGGAAGCCCCGAGCGGGCTCGAGTAAAACAGAGAATGGCGCAGGTAATATGCATACGGCGATGTGTTTGGGAACATGTTATTTTCGTTCGTGTGATGCTGCTGGGGTGCTGTGCTTGGTTTCCTGTCTGTACGCGAAGGATATAGGAGCTGGTGGAACTTCCGGACGACGGAGCAGACAGGGAGATACTTGCTCGACCAGTTTCTGCAAAACTCGTCTTCGTCCAT